TCTGGTGTATTCTGGGCATTAGTCTTGTTAGGATAGAAAGAATACATGGGTTCTACATACTGAAGAACTCCTGTTTATTGTAAAACTAATTTTGAGTTTAGGTGTCCTGAAGCTACAGGTAGTGTAAACCAGCTGTTTATCTTGCTGAGTCTGGATGTTTGGAACTAGCACTTCCTACACACTGCAAAATACTATGTGGAAGTGTTGCCTCCAAGGAATTTGTTCTGACAGAGTGAGGATCAGAAGCCAATGCAAAATAAATGCTTAGAATGCTGCAAAACACAAAAATCTGCTTTGAAGCAAGCAGCTTTAAACAAAGCTTCTAAGCTTTCCCTTGCAGATTTTACTGAATCACATGCAAAAGTACTGTATGTTTAATTACTTGATGCGAAGCAAATGTGACATCTGGTAAGAACTTGCATGTTAAATCAAGCTTCCCCTTTAGCATTTAAGCTATGTGTTTCTGGATTTTTTTTTAATTACAACCTGAACCAGGAATAGTGTGCTGAAAAAAATCTCAGCATGTTGTTTGGGGAAAATAAACCGTAAGTGAAAATTATATCAGAAAACAGATTTTTCATTGTTTAAACAATTTGTAGTTGACATACTTCATCTTCTGTTTTGTCATTATACTCAGAGCTTTTCTGTTGTTTGTTGAAGGTATTTAAATGTGTTGTTACTAAGTGCGTTGATATTTTAGACCAGATTAGAAATAAATTAACATATTTGCAAGGCATGAATGAAGCAAAAAGTAGTACAAAAGCCTATAAACTTAGGGTGAAAATCTTCATAAAATATGTGTATTTAAATAAAGAATGACAGTTTTCTTACCCATTTTGTAGTAAATATTAGAGCAGACTTTCAATTTGTGAAACCAGCTAGATACATAACTCATCAGACTTATGTGCAGTGCTGCAAAAGCTGAACAATGAAAACATTTGAAACTACGGATCAGAGTACCTACATTTGCAGTTACTTAATGGGTAGCATGTGAATGCAATTCCTGGGAAATTTTTGATTGCTCAGAAATGAGCCAACCAGTTTTTAGTACCAAGGATCAACAAGAGAACCAGAGGAAACCAGATCCTTTGAATACCAGTGTTTGAACTGGAGTCTCACAGTTTGCTGCATGTAAGGACAGTGTTTATGCACTCTGTGGCATGAATTTAATTTAATGTAGGCCCATCTAGACTACTATTACTCCTGTGACTCCAAGTGGGACAATGAAGAGTAAGGAAAATTCAGTTCTGTGCTTTTATACTTAGCTTGGGAATCTTTCAAAGTGAGGAAGCCTTAGCAGCCAGACTCAGTTGCAGAAGGTGACAAAATTAAACTGGGATTTGAACCTCATATTACAAGAAGTATGGGTAGGATTTGATGAAGGATGCTAAATGACAAGGTGATATAGAAATAGAGACAAAGAAAAGCAGAATTAGGAGAGTAGGGCTACAAGACAGAAATGGAAGCTGGATAGGATATGAACACAGGTGAGAAGAAAAACAGATGCCCTGTGTATAAAGAATGAAAATAGAATTGGAATTCAGAAAACATCAGGGCTGGTGCTGGGACAGAGAGGGAGAAGGGCAGGAACATGTTGGGGCTGGAATTAGGAGGTTTGCAATAGGACAGGTTAGGGAGAAAATGTCTGTAGCATTTAGATTGTGTTGCAAATTTGGCACTGAACCAAAGCACAGACCTTTGTACAAATAGGAGAGTATATTCTAATTGCTTTAAAAATCTTACATCTGGAACTGACCCAGCTGGGGACTCTGGATGATTTCAGAACTTACAGGGGTTTTTTTAACATTATTAAACTTGCAAATAATTTCTAAAATATATCCCAAAGAACTTTAGGTTGGTATAATCAGGTTTGCAAAATTAGAAAGGTTTGGTGGTTTGTATCATTTTGATAAAACTTCCTTGGGAAGACATATTATTTGTATTTGCTTGACATTCTTTCTTATTAATAAGCTTAGGACTAGGATTTGCTGCTTCTGGAATGCTTAATTTTACAAATTTATTGTCTTCTAATGTACTTCATTGTTCAGTTACCTTTTTGAGTACTGCTGTACCTCTCGGGTTTTGTAAATGGGATAGATAATGGTGAAAAGAGTCTATTTCAGTTAGTTAAAAACATGAGAGTTGCTGTCTCATGTAAGAAGATAGAAATGCTAAGTGAATATCACTTTATTCATATATGATGGAAATCTTTGATTATCAACATTAGGTTAGGCTATGCTGATGTGCTTTGTAGTTCCTCCATTCAAAAAAACCATCTGGTTGCCATACTTTCTTCTGTATACTGACTACATGGTTTTACCATGAAATCTTTCCATTTGCTCTCATTTTATGCAGATTTTGACAAATTATTTCATTATCCACCATTTGCAAAAACAAACTCCTCTGATTTGAAAAATCTTTGAACCATTGTTTCAAATCGGAGTGTAAGTCCCTCTCTGAGTACTGTCTTCTACTTTACTCTAGAAATAACTTTTTTTATAACCATTTTATAACCATTGTTTCACTGCTTTAGCAAACTTAAGGCATCATTGACTGGTCAGCCTAATGGCACAGAGACATAATGAAGCAGAGACCTTATTCTAGATGATTCTTACATATGGGAGGTTTTCTGTTCTTTTTCATTGGCCCAATCTGTAATTTCCCTTTCATTCTTAACCCTCATTCTTCTGTGAGATTAAAATCTCTACTCTTTCATTATATCAAGTTTGCTAAAATTTCTTGATGGAGAAAAATCCTGCAGACCCACATTCCACAGGGTTTTTTTCCATAATAGTAGTATTAAAGCGTAGGGTGGTTTTGTTTTCTTTTGTTTTCCCTTAGAGACCATCTAGGCAGATGAAGGAATGTGTTTCAGCACATTGTGTTACATGACTCTATACACACATGCACACACACTTGTGCTGAAATAGTAGCCAAGAAACCAGAGATACTGTCTGACCAAGTAAAAGCAAATATGACAGAGAAACTCTGAATAGTGCTACAGTGGAGGAGTTACTAGTCCGATCAACAGTGTAGTAAGGTCAAAAGAAAACTGACCGTTTGTAACCTTGTCAGTACAAAACAGATCATACACATGTAAACTGCTTCAAATTTCCAAAACAAAGTTAAAAAAAAATAAATTTCTGAAGTTACTCTTCATGACTGGGTAGAGAAGCATGCTCTGGAAGCACCCACTTGATTAAGTAGAATCATCAGAGAACTACAGGCTTCTCTGGAAAGTATAGAAAGTAGATACAGAGAAGTACCTACTTATGCTTTACCTAAGTTTATGAATGTTTCCAGTGTGTAAGCACAGTACAGCACAGATCTTTGAACCTCAGACTAGTACAAGGTCTGAAGCTGTGAACAGGAAAGTATTGTTTGTGTCAAGGTGGAAGGTGCAAATTTGTTGTTTAGAGTCGATAAATGTGACTAGTAATTAAGTAAATTTGTGAGTTTCATTGCACTGTTGGCTGGATGACATGTATCTTTGTGAAGACTTACTCGTTTTGGAACAAAGCATTCTTCCCAGGGTTGTAAACAATGTATATACCAGAAAAGATTTAGTGTCAAGTCTGCAGCCAATCATGTACAAAGTGTGGAGAATTCAAAAGTGAGTGCTGAAATTGTTTTTCTGTCATAAAATGAAAATAGGAACATAGGAAGCAGTCATGAAATACTTAAATTATCAGCACTTGAAAAGCATCACCAAACAAAAATGACAGGAGTAGTCGATATCTAGATAGGTAACTGTCATTTAGCAGTTTGAATGTAGTAACACTGAGAACAAATGTCTTACTATTGAAAAAGAAAATTGTTTTTAAAAGAAAAGCCTTTTCATGAGCTCAGTAAGCAGAACGTCCAATCTCAGCCTGTGTGGGAACAATCTCATTCATGCATTGGACTGTTTACACATACACGGATGTCTTCAGAGTGATTATCGGGGGGGGCATCATAATGGCACCTGTTTGTTCTGTTCAAGTTAATGCAAGTGAAAATTGCTTCCTCTTTGTGCCTTAGAAACATTCCTACATCTGAAATCCTCAGGGAAAATATCTGAAGTAATCCCTTTGTTTTTCTTAAACACTCAATTCCACCTAAAGATAAGGTGCTAAATAGGATGGAATTGTGTTGCAACTGCAATTTGACAAATGGCAACTAACATAACAACCCTGATGGGTTAGAGTAAAGGTTTGTCTGGCAATCTAACCATTTGTTGTTAAGTGGCTTCGGTGTGAGAAGTACCATCTTCTATTTAGTAGTTGTCAAAGGATTTCTCTGCTGCAAGTTGTTCAGTATTCTTTTGAGAAAGTGTTAATTTTTAGCATCCCCAGCATTTTATGGTAAGGAATTTCACAGCTTTCATGTATGAATAGCAACTTATATTTGTTTTCATTCTGCCTCATTAGATGCTTTCTCATTTGAAAATACAGTTGACTCCTCTTTTCATTCTCCACGCTGCTCATAATGTTACAGGCATCTTATTTCTTCCTTTTCCCTCTTTTCCAAGCTGTAGAGTCCTAGCTTGCTGAAGTAATTTATTCCACACAGTGCGATTGTGTAAGTGTGCAATGTTGCTGGTTGTCGAAGGCAGTCCCTACTGCCCTTCTCTGTTGCTTTGCCAGCTCTATTCCATAGTATCTCTCCCAGGAAAAGACTTCATTGCATGGATTTGTGTGCCAAGAAACAGATTCACATTGATCTAACATTTTTAAAAATAAGAAAAATAAGGTATACTATAAGGTCATTATCATTTGATTGTGCATTAGCTACATTAACTGTGCATTGTGTTGCATTGTCATTATAATATTGAATTTTCCTAACGATATTTCCAATACAGGTTATAATAGTTACATAGATAACCAAACTAACACCTATGAAACTCTTCAAAATACTGTATTAGTTCTTGAAATTTATACCTCTAATGAACAGAACTAGCATATATTCTAAATTTGCTTATTTTTGAATCATTTAAACTTATTGTTTCATTTTCCTTTTAGGTACAGACAAATGCAGCTTGGCACAGAAAGCAAAGTAGCTGAACTTCTTCACCAAAGTAAGTTAAAGTCCTTTGAAACTGAACATATTCAACTCCTGCAACAAGAAACAGCTAAGAATCTTTCACAGTGCCAAATGGAATGTGAGAAATATCAGAGAAAACTGGAGGTACGTTATATAAAGAGACATTTTATGGGGCATTATATAGTTGTTTTCAATTAGAATTTGAAATGGAAAAACTTGAGGGGAAAGTAGCAAAGAACATAACATGGATGAATTACTATCTCCACCAAATTCTGCTGAGGTGGGATCGAATGACAAAGCTTATTAAGTTTGATCACTTCAATGGAAAATAAGGCTTTGGAGAGAGGAAGAAGGCAAAACAATCTCTCATGGAGAGATATTGAAGACAGTACGTCATTCATGTGAGGTATATATATCTGCTTGTATCACAAAGCTGCTTAGGTCAGTCTATGTGATAGTTGTAGGGAAAGAAGACAGTTTCACCGTATCAGTTACGATGAATTCAGTATCATTATTTAAAACTAGGATCTATAATTGCACTGTTACATAATAAAATACTTTTTATTGATATGTAATTCTGGACCAAATTTTTACAACTAAAAGAGGTCAAGGAGAGCACGGTGTATACAGAACTGAAAAGACCTAACCTTGCTACTCCTACCGTGGTGGGTTGACCTTGGTTGGGTACCAGACACTCTCGTTCCTCTTCCTGAAGAGAATGGGGGTGAAGTAAATAAGTCTATAGAAGTACATGGGTTGATATAAAGATAGGGAGATCACTTACCAATTACCACCATGGGCAAAACAGGTTTGACCTAGGGAAAACTAATTTCACTTATTACCAATTGACACACATTTGGATGTTGAGAAACAAAGACAAAAACTGAAACATCTTTCTCTACTCTGTTCTCTTTTGGGTTAACTTTTGTCCATTTCTGACTCTTGTACCCCCTCCCACAGCAGAGCAGGGAGGGATGGGAGATGGGGGTTTGAGTCAGTCCTTAACAGCTCTTCTCCATAGTTCTTTCTCCTCACACTTTTATCCTGCTCTAGTGTGGATCCTCAACGGGCTTCTTTTTCCTTCAGGAGAAAATCTCGTACTTGGGCTCTCCACAGGTTGCAGTGCCAATATCACAGAGTCCGGTTTGTCAGATTTAAATGAGATTGTGAGTGTAGGTTTAAATCAAACATCAGGGTAGAAGAAAGTGCCAGCTATAACAGCCTTTGTTTTTTTTGGAAAAGAATGCCAGTCTTCAGGTCCCTGCATTTTTAGTGCTGAACCTGCCTAGGTTGTTTACAAAAAGGAACTATAGACTGTAATTTCTTTTTTTGTCTGTATTGGGACATTCAGATCCTGGCTGATGAGGTTAGTTGTGGTCACAAGCACTGGGAGTGCCAGTTCTGCTAGTCATAGAGGTTGCTAAACAGAGTTTTAATTGCACAGACATGTGAAACTTGGAGAATGTAGTTCAATTTGAATTATATTTTCGTTTTCTTTGTGGATATTTATTTGGTCTGATTATAACTTGAATATTTGGCTTTCAATTCCACTAACACTTTTGGAACATCTTTTTCTCTTTAGAGAGACACTTTTAAACCAGTGCTCTTTCATGAAGAAATGTTCTTGCAGAATTTAAATATTTGATGTCTGAAGTTTTTGCTTTTGTTCCTTATGATTGAATTCTCATACTACTTTACTTCCCAAGGATCTTCTTATTCCGGTTTGTCGTATATTTATGTGGTCAGTGTTGTTTCCTATTATAGAGCACTATATCAAACTTTATTTATTATAGAGACCTTTTACTTTTGAATATGAGGGGTTTTGTTTAGAAAAATAGATAAACTGAAATCTGAATCCCATTAAAGCAACAAAAATAATTGCATTTACTCTATTCTGACTGCTGTGTGTGAATTTTTTTAGTTGTTATCTTGATTTTTCTAACTTTAAAATTCTTGCAGCTTTTTCAATGATTCTTAGAGTTATGCCTTTAGAGATAGGCAGAAGTGATATGACCTGAGAGTGTAATCTGTGCAAGATCACGCAATTGAAAAAACTAACTGCTTTTTAAAGTATGTTAATCTTTTCTGTGCAAAAGTTACATGAAATATTTAGTATCATACTGCTGTGCATTTCACATGTATTGTATTTTGCCGCTTTCAAAAATAGCTGTAATACTGAATCTCTGGTATTTCCATTACTCATTCTCACAGGTGCTTACGAAGGAATTTTATAGTCTTCAGTCTTCTAGTGAAACACGCATTATTGAGCTTCAAACACAGAATTCTGAGTTTCAAGCAAGACTAGATACTTATGAAAAACTTGAAAAAGAGCTCGATGAGATAATATTGCAGACAGCAGAAAGTAAGTTCTGTCACGAGTTACACTCTGTCTGGAGGTGTTTCTGGCATTATGACAAGAGTTCTTTTTTTCTCGTGGCACTTGGAAAGTCATACAGTGCCTGTCATTCTCCTTCCTTATGCCTGACAAGTAAAAGACAGTAATTATTTTGATGGAAAATATTAATGACAGGTTTCTAAATGTATCTGTAAATGTGTATCAAACATCCATATGTCTAAGTTTGTGTTTATTAAAAATCATCTCAGTATTCCGTCATTTCTCTTCTCCTTATTCTGATAACCCATTATAATTGGATATGGTTTTTAGGATTCTGCTATTATTTATTTTAAATATCAGGAAACCCTCTTTCTTAACAGACAAATATAGGTTTCATGATACATGATTAGTGTGAATCTTTTAATTAACTGAAAGGGGGAAAAGATTCTTCCATGTGTTGTATTCATAATAATTGGACATTAGGTAGTTTTTTGTTGCAGCTCAGTCTGTACTGATTACTAAACAATGGATTAAGTTCATACCTGATTAGTCTTGAAAATTTTTGTCTCTGATTGGCAAGAATAAAAATGTCTGTTCTCAAACACAGCAAAATTTCTGTAAAACCTCTATTGATTCAATTCTCAACCTAAATGAGCCCACAAAGCAAGTAATTTCTAATTTGAAACTCTTATTCTAATCTTGAAGTCTTTTAGCCTGTTTGTAAATAGAGTACGATTCTAAACTAGAATAGAGTAATATTCTAAACTCATTCAGCTATCTTCTTATCCTTTTTCTTTCTTTGCTCCTCCAAAATTAGTCACAATGTATAATGTGTTCCAGGTAGAAGATTATTTCATAAGCTTTATATACAAGGAATAGTGTATATCAAAGTATGTATTACCAAGATGCAGTGATATTAGGGTATTTTCAGTAACTAGACTGCACATAGTTTTAATTTTATACACTCCAGCTTGTACTTAGAATGGCCTGACTACCCAAAGGTTCCAGTCTGACCATAAGCACGTTTGCTATGTACGTGTTTATATTTATTTTGTAATATGTTTTTGGAAGTGTATATAGAAACTTGCCTAAGGAACATTTATGTATTAATAAAGAGTTTTTGGATCTTACCTTAATTTTTTCCAAGGAGAAGATAGAGTTCAGAACACTGTTTTTTGTTTGCACTGGTTTTCATTTTCTTACACATCTTAGGATGGCATTAAAGATTTTACAGAACTAAGTCATTCTTAACTTCTTCTTAAGCATCTATTTTAATTACAATTTACAGTCTATGCTACAATATGACTTAAAGAAATAAAAGTTTCCAAATGAACTGTTCTCTTAAAATATAATAACTTCATTTTCTGATTTCATTGGAGAAAAAAAGGTGTTACAGTTTAATATTATTACAATATACTCATTTAATAATGAACTTTCTATTATTATAGTGTACTTGATATAGAAAGTTAGAATTAATACTAGTACTACTACTAAGACTAGTATCTGAGGAAAAGCAGAAGAAAAAATGTGTTTTTTTTTTTTAAAAAGCACTTTGAAGGGGAAGACAGATATACTTTCTCCTGTGTTTTAAATTGTGTCCTGATATTTACATGTCAGAAATAGCTAAGGGTAGAAAAATAGTTGAAAGGAAATATATAGTATTTTAGGAATATATAGTAATTTCCAAATTGAATATATTATGGAAAAACTTCAGTCTGTCTTTTGGTGAAAATAATTTAGTCTAAGGCATTGTGTGGAAGACAGTTTTAACTTTCTATGAATTTTAGCAATAATAAGAATTAATCTTCAGACTTGTGGTCACTTCTTTGTATTTAAATAACATATAATATTTTTTTCTTTCCCTTGAGTCATAAAGCCTCCACTGTTTTACAATATGTGGGGATGCCAGTGGGGTTGGGTTCTCTGTACTTTTTAATAAGTTGTGTATTTGCACATGTGAGGTGGGTTTTGTCATATAGTATATAAATAATACATATAATTATATATATAATATATAATAAATATATACACTTTTTAATTTTTCCTTTTGAAAATGTTCATGTGGAAGAGATCACTGAATTTGTACTGAGAGTAACCTATCATTATGCTTCACTTTTTTAATATTGAAATGATATGAAACAGACTATTCAGGAAACTATCAAGAATTTATATACCCACTTCTTACAGCATCTAAGTGGTTTCCACATGAATAACAAAAGTAAACTTCCTTGGCATTTGTCTAGTCTTCCTTTTCAGCATAAAATCTTCACTCTAGCATTTTTTTGCTGTAGACTAGTTGTTTGATTTTTCTTGCTTCCATGGTTAGTATCTTTCTAAAAAAAAGGTTGAACCTATCTATATCCTCACAATGGCACTTTTTTGCTAAGTAGTGTAAAAAACTGTATTTAGTAAGTGTCCGCTAACTTGTAAAGTGCATGTTTTCCATCACAAAGTGAGGTGGAGAACCTGGAATGTCAGAAGAGAAGCACACACTGATTCAGAATATTACCTTGACTTGATACCTACAACATTTCAATTTTTTTTATGCTCGTTTTCATGTTCTGACATTTACTGGACACTTCTAACAGATATGAATTTACAGGGCAGGATCTCACTGTTTTTCTGCAACATGCAACACTGAATTTGTAATCAAAAAGAAGGCTAAATTATTTTTTTATGTTTCCCTGAACCATAAGTGTGTAACAGCTCTGGAGAGTTCCCTGTCATATTTAAAACAGCCCTGAAGTTCTGGTGCATTTGTAGTGCCACATTAGTAAACTTTTTCTGTCATAATTACTGCAATTTCTGTATTGTTTTTCAGGTAACTAGATATGTGACTTACCATAAGTGCTCTACTAGAGGCTTTTCTCTTTCTAAAATGTGTTTTAAGAATCGTTTTTTAAAATAACATTAAAAGGGTATTAGGCAAGTGAGGACAGAAGCTATAGCATTGTGCAAGTTGTTGAGTAGTGAAGGTATTTCTGATTTTGAGGTACTTGAGCATTAGAAATGAGTCACATAGGACTCTTATGTAATTTCCTCAGTTTGTTTCTCCTGTTCCCAACTACTTGATTCATCAAAGCTGTTGTGTGCTGTCTGGGCTGGTGTTCACTTGTGGTCCCTCCTTCTCTCCTGCCACTCCCCTTTTCTTATTGTCTCGCTTTACCCCTCTTCACTGTCCCAGCTCTCTGCCCTGCCTTTATCTCACACACACACACTTCTTTTTTTTCTTTCTTTTTTTTCTTTTCTGACCCACTTCATCTTACAGGAGAGAGGAAACCTGAATTTCACAAGGTGAAATACAAAAATCTGCACACATTTTAATCTTGCTGCAAATGGGATTTCTTTTCAAAACAATTGTAATGTGTTTAAAATCCTTAGAAATACATTTTCAAAAATCAATCATCTATGGAGGCAGAGGTTATTTTTTATATTTTTACTTTGCATAAACATAAAAATCTCCTTGCCCTTCTCTGAAGATGTTTATGACATTTGTTTTCCTCAAGTGTGGTGAAATTTCTGATCGACACAGTCTTTCAAACACAATAGTGAGCAGCCTTACAACATCAGATGTGTCCCTTCTGGTCCCATGGACTTAGTTATGTCCTGTCACCTTAAACACTTCCTAATTTTATCTTCGTCTACATCCTCATATATGCACAGAAAATTAATTCTTTAGAAAAAATTTTAAACTAGAGTCTAATCCTCTACTGAATTAAACTTATACTACTAGTATGTATTTTGTGACCATGCCAATAGCATGAATATTCAAAGCCTCTGAACTCTTTTCCTTTTCTTTCTTATTGCATGTTAATCATAAAAATAAAAAGTGTTGTAAGAAATTAAAGTATGACACTGTATTAATGTTGTTTGTGAACGAAATTGTTCTGTTTAAGTCCAGAAGGTTATACCAACTGAAAATTTAGCTTCTAGAAAAATGTTTTTGCATGTGTAGAGTTATGAATAGAATTACTTAGAATAGAATTTATTAGTTCTGGCACTGCTTTTCAACAGTACCTTTTTGCAATTTTTGCAGTGGAAGATGAAGTTGAAGCTGAAAGGGTTCTCTTCTCATATGGATATGGTGCTAATGTTCCTACAACAGCCAAAAGACGACTAAAGCAAAGGTAAAGAAAAGTACCTCCTGAATTTACTTATTCAAGATAAACTAAGTGAAGATAAATGCATTATGTTTTCTCTTGGAATCCATCCAGTTTGATTAATAAGGAGTTTTTTTAATTATGTAAGTATGTGGGAATAGATTGAGGACTAGGATCTGTTAATGTGGTTGATGCATGTAAATGGACATATACGTTTTTCAAAGTCTTTTCACTGACTTTTAGAAGGATTAATTTTAATTGTATAAAACTTAACAGCTGTAAAAACAGGTTGGTTGCATTCTTTACTTTTATATAATAGGAAATATATTACTAATACCCTAAAGGTTATTGTATTTAATGGTAAGAAAAACACGTATGTCAGGAAATTAGGAAAGACAAGTTTTCAGAGCATCACTGTTTCATCTTTATGAATACGGGATCTGATTCCACTTGCATTTTTTCAGTTTGCTCTGATTTGACCAATTTGATAATTTGATCAATAGATTAAAATGATGTGTAGGTGAATAACATACCTCTTGATCATAGTCATTTTTAAATAATAAATTTATATTATGCATTGCTTTTGAAAAATAATAGTGACATCTGAATGACTCATTGAGAGCCTGTGTGTTGTGGCTATGACTCACTTCTCCCAGGCAACTAGCAACAGGACAAGAGGAAATTACCTCAAGCTATGCCATGGGAGGTTCAGGTTGGACAATTTCTCCATAGAAAGGGTTGTTGAGCGTTGGAACAGACTGCCCAAGAAGGTGGTGGAGTCACCATCCTAGGAAGGGTTCAAGAAATGACTGGATGTGATACTTAGTGCCATGATCTAGTTGACAATGTCGTGTTCAGTCATAGGTTGGACTCAGTCTTGAGGGTCTTTTCCAACTTTAATGATTCTATGAAAGTGGATTTATTCATAATACTTTTAAACTGTGACCACAGCAAAACCTTTGCTGTTGTTCAAAATTAGGATGGTGGTTCTCCTAGGATGAGGCTTATTCCATGAGATCCAAGCATGCCTACAGTTGCTCAAGTGCAAGAAAGTCAGTTGCATAATTATACTAGTGGTAGATTTTGACCAAAATGAGAAGCTCCACCATCATTGGTGGGCGAACCAAGAAGAGTGTAAAGACAAGGTGAACAGACACCATAGATCCACAGTGTACATTTCTATCATTCAGAAGCTTTAATAGCACGTTTTGTAATTTATAGCTGTTTTTTTACTGCAAGTATTATTTTATTTAGTTGGTTTTGTCTTCTCAATCCTCACCTTCTCCATGACAAAGAATATTTAATGTCAAAAGTTACTAATGAGAATTAAGGGCAAATGATGGTCTGTTCATATTTTCAGCAAAGATTTATGGGCCACCTACTATTTCTTCTGCCCTATATATCTGTTTTTTCAAATGTTGTCAATATGATTGTCAATCAGATTAGACCTATTGTGCACCAAGTTACATATTGCTGACTAACATAAAAGATTTTATGTAGTACATAAATTAGGCATGGCTTAATTTGCTCTTTTAAGCCTCTTCAGATTGTTTCCTTGTAAGATTTCTCTTTATTCTGCATAAAAATGAAGAAAAAGAAAAGAACAGGGGTGTGGGAGTGTGAAAAAACCCTCCATAACCTTGTTGTAGGTCTGATTTAGGAGACTGTTGAGAGTCCTATAGCATCATTTCTTAAAAGTTCAGTTTCTTCCTCCTTTCAGTAGTTTAGGAGTTTTTCTGAGTTTCAGACTATATCCTTGGTTTTCACCACCTTATTAGATTCAGTTTAGATTATTTACATATATAAGAATTCTGCTAAATCACTGTTGAATGCTGAATCTGATGATCAATAGGCCAGGATTTCAGATATGCTTGGAAGACACTTTCTGAGCTTAGAAGTGGCTCTTTCATTCAGAATGTCATTGTTCCAAAAGGTATTGACTAATAAAGCTTATTTAATCCTTCATAATGGTGTTGAAGACTTCACAGACTTTATCTTTTAAAAATTAAAAAAACCCATAGAATTCTGTGTATGGTTTACCTGCTGTTTTGATTCAAGAAAAACTACCATGCAGAAAATGTGTGTGAGGCCTTTGGCTCCCACAGTTTTTAAGCAAAGACTGTGTGACCCAGGCTTCTGTGTTTAGAGCCGTTAAAGAAACACAGGTAAATTTTGTGCTCTCTAGGATTGTTCTAGGGTCCACTGCCTGCTCTTTAATCCCTGATATATGGGATACTAAATGAAAGGCTGTTTTAATTTCACATCATGCACTTCAGTCTCTGAGACTTTGTAAAAAGCCCACATTTTCAAGCATAGGGCATTGGGGGTTTTGTACTTCTTTGCCTACTTGCCAGTAACAACTATTTCATTACTTTGGACATAGGCACTATACACCCATAGTACTAAACTAAACATCCTTGGGAACACTCTGAAGCATCAAGACCAAATGGCACGTAGTGGCCCATTTCCATAAAACTAAATTCTCATTATGGGTTAAGCCACACATGACTGACGCATTGGCAGTGATTTGCTTGCCCTTGCTAACTTCTCAGCCATGCCTAGGAACTGCTTGGGAGAGTGTAAATGAGAGAACACAGAATACTACCAGAATTACTCTAGTGTTTTGCTAACAATAAATTATCACATTCTCGAGCACTGCATAATTTTCTAGTGTAGTTGTAATAAAGGTTTCCAGAATAAGATGTCTTTGCTCTTTGTCCCTTTGCTCTACATTAAAACTAGTCCAAAACTGTATCAATGAGTATACTTGAAAGACGTATTTGTGTTATCCTTACATACTTGCAAATTCAGGTCAAGTTCACTCAATAGTTGTAGCTGGGAAAATTATGATGGGCTGCATTCCTAAAGTTGCCATGAGAAGGTATCCAAGTTTTCCCTTACACTCTAGTAGCTACTAGTCAAAGAAGTGGTTCATTTCTTTTCTATGCTAAATGAGATCTTCACACATATCTCATATCTCCTAAATAGAAATCTAAATAACTAGTTAGGAGAATTAACTTCTGTTTTTCTCAGTTACTGTTTATGTAACCTAATGCTCCTTGTAGGAGCAACTGAGAGAACCAACCTTATGGTAAAAGCTATTGAAAATTGCAGGTAGTTTTTCTCACAGTAGGCAGAAGTAAAAGATTTCTGCATGAAAGGGTAAGTTTATAACACAGATGAAAAATATTAAGACTTCTTCCAAATCTAAAAATGTATTCCATTTTACTGAGGAGGAGGTGGAGGTTATGACTGGCCAAATTTTCAGAGAAACTTTATACACTCAACTAGCTTTATACACTGTAAGCCTCAGCTTAAGGGTAAATATAATCTCCCTGTCAGTCTGCTTTAGACCACTTATCCTCTCATAGATTAGGTGTTATGGTCAGGAACTGGTTGTAGAGTTATTCAAGAACCCTCTGGATGCAATCCCGTGCTCTGGGATGACCCTGCTTGGGCAGGGAGATTGGACCAGGTGACCCACTGTGGTTCCTGCCATATCCTTCTGTGATACTGTGATTAATAATAGTTTGGAAGACTAGGTTAGATGTCTGGAAGTAGACTCTGCAATTGCATATTGAATCTTCCCAATACTGCCTATGGATCTGTACTGTTAAATTGATGATAAACTCTTGATTTTGGACATAAAGTGTGCAAGAGATTGAGGATCTTATTTTTAACTAGGTTGTTAAAGTATCTCAATAATCCTTTCTCTTCAAGGTAATTTGTGACTGTACATAAGAGTTTATTTTTAAAAAGTGGCAATAACGTTTAATTATTTAGCATATTAAATGTCAGGCAAAACAATTTTGCTTGTTTTGAAAATGATAAAATACTACATTTTTCAGTGTTCCACTGCAAAATGTATATTGATGTGTGTTTTTTTAAACTATTATTTAAGGAGAAGCCTATTACAGTGATTCTGTAAAGTTGCTAAAAAGTAAATGCTCATATATAGGTGAAGCATTTTGACAGTATTACTGCAACTGTTCAGTACTGGAGAAATTCTATAGGTAATTATTTTGTATAAAATATTACAATTGGCATAACTGTGGGAATGCTATTTCAGTGCTGTTAAATTTTGTAATATTTTCATTGTTTTTCTAAATTTGACTATGCAACCTGTTTAAGTGTGTAGTTGATATATATTAGTATTTAAGCATTGGTGAGAAATTAAGGGAGTCAAGTTCTACAGTGTAAATGTGAGAATTTCTTCTGCCTATTTTGGAAAAAATTCAACTTGAGCTTGATTTTTATTGGTACAGTGTTCATTTGGCAAGAAGATTACTGCAACTAGAAAAGCAAAACTCATTGCTTGTAAAAGATCTGGAACATCAGAAGGAACAAGTAACGCAGATTTCACAAGAGGTAAATTACTGCTACACAAAAATTTGAATCATTATAAACTATAAACATTGCAGAACAGCTGTTCATAAAATGAAATATTTTCTAAACAATGTTTGTCATCTATTTGATGTAAAAAAATGCCCTCATAATTAACCAAAACTCTATGATAAAAGTTTTCAAAGAAGTTTTTATCGTATTTTGAAACTAATGTTAAAAGAGGGATTACTTTACAGGCTAAACAAGAATGTGAGGCAGACAGAGAGTAGTTTGATTTCTGAACAGAAGACCAGCTAGCCAGACTAGTTCGTTCTGTTTGATACTTAATTATTCAGTGAATACATTGTTACTTTTTATGTAGCTCTTCTCTTAAATCACTTTATAAGACATTTCTGTAAATCCTTTTCTACAGTTGTTCAGTTTTTGAGTCTTAGTTACAATGAATTTAATTTCATGGTCTTTTAAAATCCTGTATATAATACCTGAAATTATGTATTACTTCAGACCTGAAAAACAAACTCTAAACAAAACTCAGCTTGAAATGTCCTAGAATTAGGACAAACTAATTTTATGAAGTATTTTTAAGACTGTCTTTTAACTTTCTCTTAGGAACCAAAGAACAACTATGTTTTCTATTAGATATTGCCACCATATAGAATTTCTAGGCTTACAATTTCAGGAATGGGTTTTAACAGTTTGATTTTTAAAGCCAGGGTAGTTACAAATTAGGATTACTACACCCAAGTACTCCACTGTGCAAATACTTGAACTTTCTACATATTTTTAAAGTATTAATTTTATGTGTTTTATATGTATATATATGATTATGTATAGTATTTTAATGAAAGATACGTGAACAGTGAAGTCTTTTCTTTTTTAAGCAATACTATAATTTGTTATGTATTCTTCTTAATTATAATATAGTAATTTGTATTTGACTGAAATATATTCTTTCAAATCTTTACTTTCAGACATCAGGAAATTGGTGAATCTATTGCTGTGCTTGGTATTCTTCCCTATCACTGTTCTTTATCTTAAATCTTTCTGGTTTTCACTTCAATACATTTCTTACCCCCATTAGTTTTGTATTTGCTTCTATATCACTGATGAAAGATTCAGTGCCAGTGATCATAGTTCAAATTCCAGCAAAATTCCACTAGAACATCTTCACCTCATTTTTATTCTGCCATTAAATTCTTGATTTTTATTGTATAATTTTATAGTTTAGATCCGAATGTAATCCAGTACGAAGTTAAACATTTTGCAGATAGCTAGTGCACAGTCTACTAACGTCAAACTCTTATGTGTAAATAAAATCTTTTAAGACCTGCTTTCAGTTAAACTCATGTCTCGCATTCAGGTCTGAACACTTCAGCAGATTTATTTCTTCCTTTTTTAAATTTTGCATATGATTATAGATAATTTGTTTGATAAGAATTACTTATGCCATACTGCTTGCCATCCTTCCATATGTGCACAGGGAGTTTACACTTGCGAACACAGTGGAGTGGAAAATAGTCTATCATTCTCATGTTACACAAGCTGATCATCTGACTTGTTTTCAAACATATGGCAAAAAAATTTATTGAAAACTTCTGTGTTTTCATCAGCATTATAATACAGTTTTACTGTATCTCTACCATATTGGATTGTACTGTTGCTAGAATTGATTTGCTCCCATTTTTTGTTTGCTAGTATCAACTTTCCGCTTGAAGTTGCTGCTCCTGTGGTAAATTTCCTGCATTTCATATTTTATGCTGATTGCTATCTATCATCTTTTTTATATAGTTAAAGATCCTAAACTTGTGTTTTCTCTCTTTAAATCATTCCCTGAGCCAAGATAGATTTTTACTCCAAGCTGTTGTACCTTTCTTGATTTCTTTTTTTTTAATAACAAAAGAGAGATCCTATAAACTACAGCATGCTTAGGTAGCCCATTATTATCCTTTTGATTGAGAGGTTGTTCAGTCATTTAGAAGAAATCTAGAACATGGATAAAAAGTTGATGCAAAAGTGATTGTATCAGCTTTTGGGTTTGAATTTGGATTAAATACTTCTATTTCAGTGCGGTATTTAAGATACAACTGGGTTTTATTAGCTTTTTCAAGGAGGGTGGAAAAGAAAAATAATTCAGTAACTAAAATGGATTCTCTTTCTAAAACTCTGCTTTTGGTCTGTCCTTGAAACAATTGCTGTTGAGCTTTATAGAAAGAAATCATATTGATCCTCTGGGAAAGTTCAGAAAGAAGAAAATACCAGGAAGACAATACTAACTTCTCCATATTTTCATTCATTTTAAGGAAGTCTGATATACTGTACTTACTTGAAAGTTAGAACCCTATGAAAAAGCTCATCTACTGAAAAAAACTTGTCAGTCTTCTGTTAGTCCTATTATAGTTCTATATATTAACTGCAGGATCCTATCTATTTTGATGGTGTGATACAGCATTAGAAAAGAATTTTCCCTTAAAGTCTTCTTTCTGGTGCTTTGTATAGCAGTGACCTGCAATGTTAAAGTAGGTGTTGAGACTTCCTTTCTACTACAGAGGGTTTCTTGGCCATGCATAGGACAAACAGAATAAAGGAATTCTTGTGATCTGATCCAAGAAAGATTCTCAGCTACTGATAATCCATTTGTTGCCTCTGCAACTCACTTTGTTACTCTCAGTTTAAGTAAGTGGAAGCCTATATATCCGCTTCTGCAAAGTACTGATCTGTAAGTACTACATCTGAAGTCCAATCTAAATTTTGGAATTAGTTCATCTCGCAGAGATTTGAACAGCAGTGCCAAAACTGATGGATAGAGTCCCTTTTGTCTAGAAGGCTAATATGGTCTTTGGGTAACTTAAAAAGCAACTAGCAAGTTAGTATACAGAAAAAATGGTACTTCAGATGAAGCAATTGACTAAGCTGAATAGTTGGCTTGCTGCTGAATGCCTTTCTCGAGCCTTCACTGTGACATTGTATTTGTGCTTTCTCTTTTTTCATGACTTGCATCTACTCCAGCTGCTGGAAATACTAAATCTTGTTGTGTGATCTTAATTCTGTACATAATTTAGTGAATGATCTTGTTATATTGCTCAAGATGCAGGCCATATCATGCAAGATTTTTAAACCTAGTCATCCTAATTTGTTCAGGGAACAAGGCTAGAAAGGTTTATTTCCTACTTATGGGAATGACAGTTACTTTATACTAGTCTTTTAAGCATCTTGTTGGATTTCCATATTCATATAGAGTAATGGATTAGGAGAAAGGGATTTTTTTTCCATTTGTATTATCTTTTTATCTATATTCAATTTCTGAGCTGAAAATTCCATTGTAATATAGTATAGTGTTTTTAAAAAGTCACCAGTCAATAACACCACAGAGAGAGGTATTGACTATACTTATTTCTTTTTTAGTCAGTGGAAGCTGTTACATTAAAACTCTTGAAAATGCAGATTAGGGAAGAGTAGAGAGTAGCATGATTGCAGTGAAAATAACATAGAATAGAAAACTGAGGGGATAATACACTAATTATTTTGAAGGTGGTTTGTTTTCTTTTTTTTTGTTTGTTTGCAACTGGTAAAATAATATCTAATAATCAATTAATTATGCTTTATTAATTATAAAACTTATAGTAGTAATACCTTTTCTTTTGGCAGCTCGAGAGAGCAAATTCTTTGTTGAATCAAGCACAACAGCCATACAAATATCTCATTGAAACTGTGCAGCAGAGAGATTCTCAAATAAGTCTACAGAAAGAACATATTACACAACTTGAAAAAGATGTCAGGTAATTAAAATCACTATTTCTTTTTTTACTTTCTCTTGAACTGAAAGTAAAATTACTTATGTGTTTATCATTAGAAAAAAATTTTATGCTTTTGGCCACAAAGTGGGAGATGTTAACTCTTCATCACTGATGTACTCCAGTCTTTATGCTGCAACTCTAGCATCTGTGATTTCACTCACAATGTTAGAAAAAGGGGCTTTAGGTTTGGAAGAGCAGCTGTGACAGTCAGGTTTAAAGTGAATTTGGAGTTGAGAAGAGCTCCCATCAAGTAAAGGAAAATTCAGAAGAGTAAAAGGAAAGAATGACACACCAGGTGTACAAAAGTAAAAATAAAGAAATAAAATCAGAGAAAAATTATAGACTACTCCACCAGCAAAGGGTATTTCAGGCATAAGTAGAGCTTATTCTATAGTGGAGGCTCTCTCATTTCCTGTTATATCTGTCTGTCAGAACTCTCTGACCACTGAGCAACTTCCCAGCATCGTACAGTTTTAGATGATGGTGGTAGGAAAATGTCTTTCATTATTCACATAGTAGTCCAAAAGTCTCTCAAAAGCTAGAAAAGAAAGGAAGTAAATAGATGAGGTCATTTCTGAAAGTGTATGTGTCATGCTTTAAAATATGTAAGAACTTGAATGCCTTATTAACAGTGATTCTCTGGAGCTTATATGGCTTATTACAAATAATCTGTATACCCAGGTATTCTTCTTAAATTTAGCCTACAAATTAAGGTACCTAAATTAGGGATTTAGGTCAACTTTCCTTAGTAATTCATAGTGGAAGTTACATCTCCAAAAAGCAATTCAGATATTAGGTGGAGTGAGTAATTTCCTAGAGATGCCTGTTACTTTTACATTAACTTTAAAGGGAACTTTTTTCATCTTAAGTGCCTCAGGTTAAGGAAGAAAATGGATCTTCCCCAGAGTGTGACCATTCATGGTAAACATACCAGCAGTATTCTGCTGTGGGGAGCTGGGGTGTGCTGACCACTAGTCTGTGTTCCTGTAAAGGAAAGTGTGGTCTGACAAAAAAATATTGTACCAAAAAAAAGTAACACTTACTTTGCACATCAAATATTTTGGTAAGAATTTTTTGTCCTCTAGTTTCCAATATTCCTTGTAAACTAAAAACAGCTATTATTCCCCTAGCTGGCCTAGTTTCGTAGGCCAGTGAAATTCTTGGAAACAGTCTAATGTCTTAGGGCTTTTGGTACAATTTCTAGTCCCTAATTTTGTTCTTCATAACTCCATGTTTAAAACAAAGATCCTAAATTGCTGGTATTCCGCAGCACACAAGAGAAATAATAATCTCTTACAAATTGATAATGTTGGTTCTTTGCTTTCCCATAAGTGAGAGGAAGAAGGTTAGAGGAAGGGATTTCTAACCAGAGAACCATTACATTCAAGCAATCTTTTGTCATGAGGATAACCTTTTGGAATCTGCTGATGACAGTTTTAAATTAAAATATCCCTTAGGTGATTTCAGATTACTTTGGGGACACTTCTAACTCCCAACTATTCCAGAACTGAATCAGAATAGGATTTAAGTAAATTAATGATAATCCCCACCAAATATATGCCAAGGGAAGCTGTGCTGGATCAAAAGATTTAGCCCACTATTCCTATCCCTCTTAGTTTATTAAACAGCATTTTGTTGGTTTGTGTGCGGAATATTTTCGAGAGGATGAGTTCAGAGAATTAATGCTCCTCAAGGAGAGCCCTAAATTCTGCAGATAATGTTGGTGCTATTAGAAAAGCATTAGTGAAAACACTAAACATGTTTTATGACGCCTGGTTTCTCTGTATTTCAGAGCTGAGAGAAGGTTTTAGTATTTGTAAAACCATTAAAAAAAATTGTTCTTTCAACCATTACCTATAATTAATAGTTAATACTGCAATTCTGCAGCAGCCTCTCTAAGTTGAGGTTTAATTTGTGCTACAATTACACAAAGTATGGGGTTTTTTTAATTTTAAATACAATAAATGCACTAGTTGTATTTCTAAAAAGCAATTTCACAAGTACCAGCTAACAGAAAAATAGTGTTTGAACTCTTGTTTTCAGACAGATCTTTAAAAATACTAGTGATTTTTTTAAATACATTTTGTTTTAATCTTGTATTTGAGTACCAGACTCTAGATAAATCAATGTAATATTGATATGCTTGCACCCTCATAATCAAGACCAAATACTTAGTTTTACCCTTACAGCTGCCCTATGCTTGATCGTGATTTTCCTTCCTGTTTGTGTGCAGAATCTGTGTTGGAGGAATGTTCTTTTCATGTTGTGTTTTTATGTCATCTTCTCATCAAGAAAGATGGCTCTGCATTATGTAAATCATGGATTCCCTAAGCAGAGCAGTCATAGCTGTGTTATCAGTGCCAGTGTTCTCTATCACATCTCACTTGAGTGTGGAAGGATCAGCAAGGACTAATTTGCAAGTGAATTTACCTTTTTAGTCTTAATCCATAATTGGCTTCTGTACACAGTGATCATGGCCAATAATCTTTTTAGAACATACTCCTGGGGTGATTAGATTCCAGCAGATTTCCAAGGATGATGAGTCAGTACTTTCTTGCAACTTTATAAATGTTTTGCAGCAACCTGCTATAATTTGTATTTCTATGTCTATTGAGAAGTTTGTTGGTTGCTACTGGATGTGAGCTTGATTCTGTGATGAAATAGACCATTCTGTTGAAATCAGATCAAGAGGAAGATAATTATGAGGAAGGCTGTCTATGACTGAAATCTCATTTAGGATGTTCTTGGGTGATATCTTTACCAATTTTTCACAAAATGGCCTACAGTCAGTTATGTGGTCCCTTAACAGGCAGCAGATGTGTTCAGGATTCTCCACACTCATAATTCTATTTCAGTGTCGTTTCTGACAGCAGTTATTTCTACAAGAGGAATGGGACAAATTCAGGCAGATCATTTTGATATAATATTTTTGAGAAGTCCTGCAGATCTATCTAAGTTTCTTTTCAACATGGTCTTCAAAGTTCGCTTCCACCAGAGCAGCTTTCATGCCTTCATCCTTAAGTGTCATTACCTCTAGAGCTAAGGCTATCTTTCAGACCCTCCATATCAAAATGTCTTCCTCACTTGGAAGGACTGTTCAAATAGTGCACAAGGTTGCTTGTGTCAGTAGTTCTCAAACTTCTCAATCACAGAATGGTTTGGATTGGAAGGAACCTTTAAAGATCATCTAGTTCCACCCCTCTGCTGTGGGTAAGGACATCTTCCACTTAGACCAGGTTGCCCAAAGCTCCATCCAACTTCTCATTGAAAGGAAAGGAGTAGTCAAAATACTTACCAGACAGAATTAATGTCTTAAAGTAGTATATTCTACCAGAACTGGAGATACTTTAGTGGCTTGCTGAGCATTGTGTCTGTTCTGGACATCTTTCACACAGATCTGTGGGTTTTGAGCCATACCTTCACTAGGAGCTGCAAGAGCTGTTGTGATTGGGGAAGTGCTTAGCTGAGCAAGCGTCATTGCCATTAGTTATTTGCACGAACAACTTAGGGACCCATTGCCAGGTTATTAAAGGTGTGGTGATGTCAGTGCTTAGATTCTTTGTGAAGGCACAAGTGTATTACCACTCAAAGATGAAAGGAGAGGTTGTTTAGGGGTAATGGAAGCTCTGTTAGGTGTTGCCCACACCTAATGTTCACTACCACTCTCATTCCCATACCCTTAGAATTCTGCCAGACAGGCCATGGGCTGTGCTGGCACTTGGCCTTGAAGAGAACTTGGATGGCTCTGGAAGCAGAACACTTGAGCACTGTGCCAATGCACCTGCATATATGTTTCAGATACAAAACCTCTGGCCTTGAGTGACAGAGCATCTGCAGGGTGAATTTATAGGTGGTCCACATATCTCAAAATATTCTGTTAAGTAACTTTTTATTTATGTTAGACCACATAGCACTCTCGTTAATAAAAGTAAATAGCTATGGTTAATAAGACTAGTGCTATATGTGAGGATGACTCCTTGCTACTATAAAGAAATCTCTCTAGTATACAGTTCTTTAGTCAGAAATTAAAATAACACATTTAGCATTCCTTTTGAAAAGAAATGCTTGCAACTGTCATACTGTGGGAAAACAAATCTCTGAATTTCATTCTTATGTGTGTAGTGAAGTAATTGTAGTTATAGTACATAATTTTCTGCTAAAAACATCTAGGTTTATAAATAACTGGAGACATTAAACAGGACTTCATTCATAAAGAGAGGATATTTATTTTAAATGCAGTTACTTAAATTTCTCAGTACCAGTGGCTGGTTTTAAAAGAGGTTCACTTTCCCAAAAACACTCCTCAAAAGCCTTAACTGTGTGGCAAATCTAGAAGCCACATAAGGATTTTGCTCACTAAGAAGCTTTGTGCTGAAATGTTCCTTACCTAAACATTTTGGTTTCTGTAATTGCCATCCAAACATAAAGCTTGGCATACAGTGTTAGATAAGTTTTTCCCATCACAGAGTGGCAGTGAGCTTTTTAAGAGAATATTACCATTCTGTGAAATAGGCATAATTTATTCCAATGCTACTTCAGTTTACCTGAGAAATGGTCCAAGCAAAATTTGTAGAAATACGTCATTCTCTACATTTTCTGACCTGTAATACAACTTTAAAAAAAGTTGCTTGAATTTATTTTTTTTAACAATTTGAAAAAATAATTTCAATTAAGACACTCCATGGATATTTTTTTAAATAAATTTTTTTAACGCTCCTGAAGTATTCCAGTTAAAATCATTAAGCACTACTCTCCTAAATACATTTTAAAATCTGAGCTGTGGTCTTTGCCTGCACAATGAGAGAGCAGTAATTTGTCATATATTCTTTCTTCTAAAGAACTTTTATTTGCAAAATTTTTATACCTCTCTTTCTAACTATGTGACTTAAAAACAAAATTTGACTTAGATTAATAATTAACCATCTGCTCCAAACTATTCATCTGTAATCAGCAGAGAAGGTGTAGCTTCACTATATAGCTATATTATATATTCCATTTCATGTACAAAACCTTCATGTGTACTATTTTTGTTTGATTTTTTCGATGGTAGTATTTGTATCTGAATATAAAATGCAAAAAAATAATTCGAGATTGGGCTATTCAACTTCATGCTGTAAGGGGAAGTTAACAGAAAGGCACAATCTTTATTTCTTACAGCATTTGGAGTACACAGTTCACTGAAAAAGAAACCTACTCTTTTTCCGAACTGAATAGAAGTAATAATAAAACCCACTAATGTATTAAACCATGTTTATTTAGTCTGCTCGGTGTTCAGAATATCTAATAATAGAAGCTTCTGAACAGGATAGTAGCTAGTATATTTAAACTTAAGCATTAAGATGACTTAATTGCCCAAATTGAAAAGGGTTTATAAGTCTGAAACTGGGAAATGTTAGTATCCATTCTCCAGAAAAATTATGTAACCTAAAAATGTCTTACTTAAAATATCCAAGCTACTTTGGCTTTAGATCCTGAGTGAAGCAAAACAAAACAAGACAGTGGTTGCTATGAGCAATGTGTATGTATATGACAAGTATTTTGTGGTAAGTCCTGCATTCCTGGTACCTGGATTCATACCTGGCTAAGCTTTAAAAGCATGATGGAATGAAACTGAATATTCTCCCAGGCATTTCAGTTTCTTCTATAAAAGCACGTAGAAAAAGCAGGAGTTGCACTGCTTTTCAGTTAGTGCTCCAGCCTGTACTTTTGGGGCTACAGTTACAGCCCCTACATCTCACAAAGGGCACCTTCTCCACATGCAGAGTGAGGCAATCAGTGACCAGGACTGTGGAGCACAGCATGGTCTACACCTGGTAAAGAAGATCCTGTCTCTTCAGATCAAAGGTATATCCCTTGAGCTCCAATGTGAGAAGCTGGTTTGTCTAGACTCATAGATTGTGGTTTCAGAACAGCAGCAAGGCAAATGGAGCACTGTCACCAAATGGAGCACTCTCATCCTTGCCTTCAACTGTGGGTCTCCACTCTACATGGTAAATCCAGTTGTTTTGGTGATCCATGTGAAAAATATCCTTTAAAAAGACTCCAGCTTCCATCCAGATCAGTGAAATGGCCTACTTAACGTGGTCACAAATTTTGCTGAACCAACACAAAGAGTAGGTTACCAGAATGTGGTAAGGGAGGGATTATCTTTCAACAACAGTTTTCACTTAGGCATCTGAAACTAATTGTAAAGCTACTCTCTGATTTGTTACACTGCCAGTTAAAACTGAATCAGGTTAAACTACTCTTTAATGGAAGTGTAAGGTAGTTTAAAGTTAGAACCTCTTTGCTGATGTCCTAGATGCTGGTTCAGAATATTTTCAAAACAGGGACTGAAATGGTCAGTCTCCTTCCCAAAACAGAACTTTTGAAGGTATTTCTGCTCTGCATAGTCATTACAGGTGTGAATATATTATCATTCTGTCTGGTAACTGCTTTCTTACTCTGTTAAATATGTATAAGCCTCTCTAGCAGTATACTTTCAGAAGTACAGGATTTACTCTCTTCGATCTGCAGTGATGAAAAAGCATAAGTATTGCAAAACTACTAAATCTAAAGTCTGCACATGCTTTGGTAATTCTATATTAATATGTATGACAGAAAACACATCAAGTGCTACTGAATGATATAGAGTCTATGTCCTATATTTGACTATAAACAAAGAAATTTAGAACTGGTTCACGTGGATCAGTCGTATCATATTATTTCAGAAGGTATAAGTAGAGTAGGTTCTGTTCTGTAGGTGAAATCAAACCTTGAATGTGAACTTCTGGTTAAGTCATAAACAGTGATGTTTATACTTATTCAGTACACTACTAAAGTCATTGAAAAACTTTTATTATTGCTTCTCTAGTAATTTTGCCAGCCTCTGGAAGGATTAGTTTGTGTTCTTAGGAAATACAAAAATCCATGACAAAGTGACATACCAGTAAATTACAACACATGAACCTAGGAAAAAAAAAATAGTACAGCAATCTCATTATGATTAAAAATGTGACAGAAAAAAACCCACTTGAAAATATTAAAATATCTTTATAGCTTTTCATAAATGTTACTACTTTCCTTTTAAATAGCTGAAACAGCTTAGCAATTTGGCAAAAGCATACTTTTTTTTTCTGAGAATTAATGAATGCCTAGAAGGAATTGACACTCATAATTTACAATGCAGGGCTTGCAAGGAACTGCCAAAAAATCTCTGGGGCAAAGGATGATGCTCCTTATTTGAAAAAAGCAGATGATACATGGCCAATTAAAGATTGATTTATTTTGTTGATCGTTTCTGGATCAAATACTGGAAATATTAAATAATCTGTGTTTGCAACATATGTAATTGCTCCATTCCATTTATAAAATTTTAATACATTTGCTTTTGAACTCCTGACCTGTATATTCAGTATTACATATTTGGACTCCGCATGCAGAATTGCATTTTTCATAGTTGTTGATTTATGTTACGGTTTATATTGTACAACCTATTTATTTAAGTCATGCTAATGGCATATATAACATTGGTCTTCCAAGAAAATCTTTGTGGCTGTTTTAACAAACTAGATTATATGTGGTGTTATGCATGCATTAGTCTGAACTTTATTGTTAGAAACTCATGTTGGGGCTAAGGATGAAAATACATTTAATTACAGTAGAACTGCTGTCTGGAATCACAATATGTATGCTAAACATTTCAAATGTTCATATTCTATAACTACAAAACCAAAGAACAATTAGAGTTAAACTTGACATTGTGCTACTAAAGCATGCCTTCATGCTAAAACAGTTTTCATACTTGTTTCATAGGACAAACTTGATCCCATGCATTATCCTGGAATAAAAAGTAAAAAATAGCAGAAATACATTTACAATTTTCACAGAAACTACACAGCTAAAAGGGGGAGAGCTGGATGTTATTCTTCCTTCAATTTGCTCTTTTCAGAATTTCAAATACAGTAGCATAAAAAGAGATGATACTCAAAACAATGTGTTTTGCTACTAGTGATGAATACAACAAAGAAATCCACATTTTGATATAGAAGTGTAGATATAAGGAGCCTTACTTTGCTTATAAAATAAGCTCATTTTCCCTAAAAGAAACCAAGAGATAATAGTAGAATATTCTGATAATTTAAATTACCCTTCAGAGAAAAAAAACAAAAACATTTTATGAAGGCTTTGAATAGTTCTTCTGTTTGACTAAAATAAAATTTTGTGTGTATCAGTACATTCAGGCCCATTTATAAAAATTTCAATGCTTGAATATAGGAAAGGATCATTAGATACAATTGCTCAAGCAGACTTTTATTGTTGCCAGTATTTAGCTTTAGAAAATGCATGTTTCATCCAGAATACGAGATTAAAAGAGATTATCTGTTGCTATTACTGCATTTTCTATCCTCTTTTTACCAGTCTTTTAAATAAAGAAAAGACAGCTTTGCTGCGTGTCAAGAATCAAATGGCAGCAGATTTGGAGAGACTTCTAAATGACCGTGAGGTAATTAATCTTCCTCTTTTAGCATTACTACCATAAGTGCACTTTTTCTCTCTTGGGCCTTAAACCATGGAGAAAAAATTGATTTACTTTCGTTTGATTTTTGGGGCTTTTTTGTCTGTGTTGTTTTGAGAAACACAGATGATTGTGTCTGTCAGGTAGTGGAGAGGGTCTCAGTTGTACTCTCAGTTGCTAAATTCTCTCTGATGATTTAGTTCTCCCTACTTTTCATGCTATTCCCCACATTCCGTTCAGTAAACCAGAACTCGTGTCATCAATTGGTCCAGACCACTTTGTCTCTCCTGACCACTTAAAAAACTATTTTTCCTTATAACCAAAACAAAATAATTTTATTGACAACTGAGTCTGAGTCTCAAGGTAAATGAAAACTCTTCTAATTCTGTTCCCTGAGTCCAGAACTCAAATGTGAAACAATCACTTAAAAATAAAAAGTTCTTAAATCATGTAATTTCTGTTCAGAATTGCACTACTTGTTTGCCTGATACAGTTCCCTCATAGAACAGTTTTTGCCATTAACTCTCTAAATTGATTGAAGTACCTGTAAAGTTCCATACATAAGAGATCAAAATACTCAAATTCCATAAGAACTCTCTTATTGAACATACTTCTCCAGACTGCAGGTGTCCTTGACCTGGCAGGAGCATCTGCAGGTGCATCAGAAGTAATCATTCAATAGCTCTTATTTCTGATGTCTCTATCCACATGTATATTTAAATATCAAATTCGAGACTGAAACAAAGGCAGATCTTTGGTTTGGGTTGTATTTTTTCAGGGGTTTTGTGGGGGTTTTTCTGAATTTTTTGGTTATGTGAAACAATGTGGTCTCTATTAATGTAATTGTGACTGAAAAAAGGGAAACATTGTACCCATCTTTAAAAAGGGTAGACAGGAGGACCCTGGGAGTTGCCAAACTGTCAGGCTCACCCCGGTGCCTGGGAAAATCTTGGAACAGATTCCCCTAGAAGCTCTGCTAAGGCACATGGAGGACAGGGAGGTGATTTGTGCCAGCTGATATGGCTTCACCAAGGGCAAGTCCTGCCTGACCAACCTATTGGCCTTCTGTGATGGAGTGACCACATCAATGGATAAGGGAAGGGCTGGAGGTGTCATTTATCTGGACTTCTGTAAGGCCTTTGACATGGTCCCCCACAACATCCTTCTCTCTAAACTCGTGAGAGATGGATTCGATGGGTGGACTGTTGAGTGGGTAAGGAATTGGTTGGAAGGTCTCATCCAGAGGGTAGTGGTCAAAAGCTCAGAGTCTTGATGGATATCAGTGACAAATGGTGTTCCTTAAGGGGTCTGTAGTGGGACCAGTGTTATTTAGTATTTTCATTAATGACAGACACGGAGAGATCAAGTGCACCCTCAGCACCAAGCTGAGGGGTACAGTTGACACACCTGAAGGATGGGATGCCATCCAGAGGGACCTGGACAAACTTAAGTGGACCCATGGGAATCTCATGGGGTTTAACAAGAGCAAGTGCAAGGTGCTGCTGCTGGACTGGGGCAACCCCTGCTGTCAGTACAGTCTGGGGAGAATGAACAGGTCAAGAGCAACCCTGCTGAGAAGGACTTGGGGTTGCTGGTGGGTGAGAGGCTGGACATGATACCACAATGTGCACTTGCAGCCCAGAAAGGCAACCATGTCCTGTGCTGCATCAAAAGCAAATGGCCAGCAGGGTGAGGGAGAGGATGGTGCCACTCTACTCCACTCTGGTGAGACCCCACCTGGAGCACTGCATCCAGTGCTGGGGTCCCCAGCACAGGAAGGACACCGACCTGTTGGAGCAAGTCCAGAGGAAGGACATCAAGATGATCAGAGGGCTGGAGCAGCTCTCCTGTAAAGGCTGAGAGAATTGGGATTGTTCAGTCTGGAAAAAAGGTTTCAGAGTGACCTAATAGTGGCCTTCCAGTACCTGAAAGGAACCATGAAGAAAGATGGAGAGAGATTTTTCACGAGGGCGTATAGTGATAGGATTAAACTGAGAGTAGATTTCAAACTGAGAGTAGATTTAGATTAGATACTGGAAGAAATTAATTTCTTTGAGGGTAGTGAGGACTGGAACAGGTTGCCCAGAGAGGTTATGGATGCCTCATCCTTGGAAGTCTTATGGCTAGTTGGATGGGGCTTTGAGCATTCTGCTCTCATGGAAGGTGTCCTTGCCCATGGCCAGGGGCTTGGAACTAGATGATCCCTTCCAACCCAAGCCATTCTGTGATTTAAACATTTCTAGATAATTTATAAACCTTATCATTCATGCTTTGTCATATTCTTATATTAATTATATGAAAAATACTCTGAGGAAACATTACTTAATTGTATAAAAATGTAGTGGATTTTCTATGATAGGCCCTTAGCAGGCTGATTTCAAATTAATTTCTTTCAAAGCTTCCTGTTCCTACTCCTTCTCTCCCAAGTAGGGCTGTTGCCAAGTAGTTATGTTCTCAAAGTAGTTATGCCTTGGGTGCCTAGTTTTAGTAGTGTCACATGCAGTGCAACTAATTACAAAGAATAGAAAATTATAACAAAAGATAAAATTCAGTAATGTTTCCTAAGAAAGCTGTAAAATTTCTAACTCAAAGCTGTGCAACATTGTTTACATCCAAACAACATTAGTCCCTATGAGTACCCTCATAATCTCTTACTGATATGCAGCAGTTTGCTTCTTTGTGTCCTTTCACCGCTTAGGATTTTCACACTGTGGAAAACGATCAGGCTTGATAAAAAAGAAAGCAAATATTTGAGTCTGAAACAGACTTTATCTTTGATGTCCCTCATATCCTGAATGTTTGAATTGAGCAAATATTTCCAAAATTATTACTGTTTTCTCAAATTTCTTTTGACATCTGTTAAAAATGGGCCACATTAGTCATACTGGTTTTGCCAAACAGTGATTATGGTTTTTAAAGACACCTGTGCAGAAAAGGATATAAATACTGAAAAAGAAACATTGGAAGTCACATGTTTGAGGGAAGAAAATTACAAAATGCCAGTACAATGAACAAAAAGAACACCTAAGAAACAAAAAATAAGCTCAAATTGTTTCAGGAAAATGTATAAAAATAGAAAGTAGCATTTTGTTTGTGTATGTATGTTTCAGTTCTGTCACTTCTGTTTATTCCTTGTGCAGCCTTTTATTTTTTACTTTTAATACAAACTTCTTCCATTAGTTTTACAGACTCTGAATTTCTCTAAAAGGCAATTATCTCATGTTTTGAAATCTTTGTACAGGATAGGGAAACTTAGTTTATAGTAAGTTAGTCTTCAATTTTTTTTTGCCATCTTAATAAAAAAGTTAAATTTTCTCATCTTGAGTTAGTAAAGAGTTAACTGCATTTAAACAAGGTGTGTGCTTTTAAATAAAAGTGACATGCAACCTGTAAATACAGGTTTATGCAGTTGGAAAAAAATATGAATTATGGGTTTATGTGTTGTGTTCATGCGATCATGTAAAATGGTTACTATCAGTCTCATTTAGTCATTGCACATACTAAGCTGTCATGTCTTGTTAGGAATTATCTTGTTGCCTTCATGTTTGCAAGTAAAACATTAGAATTCTTGAATAGATTAACCCAAGATATTCATAGTTAACATAAAATGAAGTTTAGGTATGTTTAAAAGTACAAGCAAAATGCCAGAACAATGTTAATGCTGTCTTCCAACATGTTTCAATAAGTGTACAGTTTTACTTAAGGTATTCCAGCCTGTGTGGTCTCAGAATGTATTAACTCTTTTTAACACAGTGTTAGAGTTTGAGGGGTTGGGGTTTTTTTACTTCTATCTCTTTGTGATATCAACTGGATTGGTAATGTTGCTTTGGAGGCAATTATAGCATTTTATACACTTTCAAAAAAGAACTTAGATTCATGATTAATCTTACTTCTCTTTTCACAGATTTTAATTTTGGAAGAAAAAAACCTTTGAATCTTGAATTTATATAGGACTCTTACATGAGCTCTAAAACCAAACAAAAATTATGTAATAATTATGTAGACATCTAATTTGATGATGATTATTATCTTTTGCTGTGGGAAATCAAAGTGAAAAGTACTCACTATACAAAGTCTTAAAAGTTTGTGTCGACCCATGAAGGAGAAAAATGGAAGCTTTTTTTTCTCAGCTGTGTTCTTGTCCTGCTACTTCCTTTTTTTCTGAATTAATTAGTAAATGAACGTGGGAAACTTTTTAATCCAGCTTTTCATTTAGATCACTGAGAATCAGCTGGTAGGATAAAATTTCTTATCTTCTTCATATAGATAAATACAAACGTTCCTATTTGAGAGGGAGCTCAATGGCAGTATCTTGGATGATCAGTATCCAGGACCACGTTGAGATTATGTTCTTAGAGGTTCATAATAAAGCCTTCCCTGTGCCACTATCCTCTCTGAAGAGGAACCAGGGGTATGCAGTATCCTGATGCCATTTGTAAGTCCCTCAGTGCAAGACAGCAAGTACAGTTAGTGCAGCCAAATTTTTCAACTGATTTTAGAATAAGATATTTTATATGTTTTGTTAAGATATTATTTATTTTTCCAGTTTCATCAGAAGAGCATAAAACATTGTTTGGAGGAACAGTGCAGTCTCCCATTAATAAGCTTCTAGTAAACAGTGAGGGAGTTTTTTAGAAAAAAGTATTTAAAATCCAGATTATTTTTTTTAGCATTATTATTTGTAGTCCGTGTTCTCTTTTTAATCAGCTGAACTCTACACTTTTGATCCTCTAACTTGGATAACCAAACCACACCAAAAAAACCCTAAGTTGTTGTCTTGATTCTTCCCACTAACTAACTGCACCTCTTGCCCCAGAGTTGGACCTCTGTTGCCCTAGAGTCTTTGTACAGTCAGGGAAGCACAGGTTAGAAGGATGTTCCTTCAAAGCATAAATCTAGATGAAATTACATTTTATGCGTGAGTTGACCCCATAGCTATAACACTGCCCTACCTCTTTGCTCCTCCCTCCTCCTCTTGCACAAGCTCT